AGAAGCAACAGGAATATCACCCAATGGAAACTCAGATTCAACGAACTCCACATCACGAGAAACGAGAAAAACTTGACGTTCTAGATCATATACATGCCAACCCTTCTTCCCAAAGGGATATCCCACAAAAATGCACTTGCGACTGCGACTAGCAAACTTATCCCCTCGACGGTCTTGGTTATGTACATAGCAAAGACAGCCGAATACACGTAAAAGAGAATAATCTGGAAGTTTGCCATACAAGACCTCATAAGGAGTTTTACCCTCGAGAATCGCAATCGGAGTCCAATTAATCAAAAACCCGGCCGCTAAAATACAATGACCCCAAAAAGGCAAAGGCAAATGAGCTTGAAACCTCAAAGCACGAGCAACATTTAAAATATGTTGGTGCTTACGTTCCACACGACCATTTTGTTGAGGAGTGCCCACACAAGAAGTCTCATGTATAATGCCTTGACGAATGAAATAGGAAGTCATGGATAAAAATTCAGTACCATTATCGCTTCTAACCGTGCGCACTAACTTGCCAAATTGATGATGCACCATAGCAAAAAATTGCAACAACTTGGAAGAAACCTCAGACTTATCCTTAAGTAAATAAATCCATGTCCCTCGTGAACAATCATCAACAATAGTTAAGAAATAACGTGCCCCACTGAAAGAAGGAACACGATAAGGACCCCAAACATCACAATGAATTAACTGAAATATCTCAGTACTAGCAGAACAACTAATAGAAAAACTATCACGACACTGTTTAGCACGGAAACAAACATCATATGCTTTATTCAACTGACTAGAACTAATATCAACTAGCGGAAGCTGGGATAATACGCCAGATGAGGGATGACCCAAACGCCGATGCCACAAATCAAAAGAAACCTTCTTCACCCGAGAGGCCGCAATAGACACTGTCCCTCGAAAGAAGTAGAGGCCCCCCAACTGCTCACCCGTGCCAATCACCATCCTCGAAGTACGAGCCTGAATAGCACAAAATTTATTATCAAAATGTGCCGTACAATCCGATTGATCCAACAACTGATAAAGGGATATGAGACTGCAACGGAGGCTAGGAACAAACAATACATCACGAAGAACAATATGAGAACCCAAAGATACAGTGCCAGCCTGACAAGCCATAGTCAAAGTCCCATTCGGCAATTGAACCGGACGAGGGGAAATAGCATGGAGATTAGTCAAAAAATCCATGTAACCTGTCATATGATGCGTAGCACCACAATCATACATCCAATCATATAAACTATGCTTACCAGACACCGAAGGTTCTTGTTTAGCCGAATTGACTAAACCCACAATATGGGACCATTGGTCATTGGAAAGACCAGTGATAACCGCCCGATCGGAAGCCGAGAGCTGAGGGCCGGAGCCAAAGTCAGGGGATAAAGTTGAACCGGCAGCATTGACACGAGCGGTACCACCACGACCACGGCCACCTCCGCTTCGACGCCCATGACCAGCCCCTCCACGACTTCCACGACCAGACCCGGGGGGAGAATACCAGTCCGGATAATCGATAATATCGAAACATGTTGTCACCATGTGACCGCTCTTGCCACAGTGAGAACAAACCGGTCGGTCGTTGGAAGATCATTGTCCAGCACTAGCGGCAGCAGCCCGCCCGGTGTCGCCTCCAGTAGCCCCATGAACGCCACCTGCAGTAGCCCTGGTCGCGACCCCTAAAGTGTTGGAAAAGTTTCTCGGCGACACGGCCTTCGCTGCAGCAAAGGATGGGCCGGCAACAGTGGTCTGGACAGTGAAACTGGAGTCTATAACAAGCTAAATATCGCCGCCAATCGCCATCGTCAGCATGCGCTCCTCTTGCACCATCGTCGAAAAAACACGGTTCAAAGACGACAAAGGTTCTTGTGCGAGAATATGAGAACGAGGAACACCATAAAGGACGTGATCAAGACTCTTTAAAAATTGATAGACGCGTTCCTCCTGTTGACGTCGATCCCATTCAACATTCAAATTACACCGACAATGGCCACAACGACACATGGGAGGCTTTTCAAACTCGGCAAATTCCTCCCATATCTTGCTGATTTTGCCGAAATAACTCTCGATGGACAACCCCATTTGCTTACAATTGGCCAAATCGGACTTGAGTTGTTGAATACGGGGGCCATTCTTTGTAGTGAATCGCTCCTTCAATGACAGCCATAAGTCTTCGACGAGATCCGGCTCCGTGATAGTAGATCGAACTCGAGGCTCAATCGAGTTCATGATCCATGAACGAATGAGGCAATTGTTGGCATCCCAATCTTCAAATAACTCCGAATCTTCATCCGGACGAGGTATCGATCTGTTCAAAAAGCCAAATTTTCTTGCGCGCACGAAGGGCTGTCCGCAAGCTTCTCGACCATTCATCATAATTACTGGCGCCGTTCAATTGAACCGGAGTGATCGAGATTCCCGGATTATCACTCGCACTAATATCGTATGGAGAGATCGTCTTCCGAAGCACACCGCTACTGCTACCGTTGGCAGCCATGGAAGAAGAAGATAAAAATAAAAAAATGAGTTACGGATCAATGGCTCTCGATACCGTGAGAAAATAGGGACTGAATATGTTTGGTCATAAAAAACATGATGCCAGTAGCAGCCGCACTATCTGTATATATATATATATATATATATATCTATGAGTAGGGTTTTTACATCCAACTAATAAACTAAGGACAAATATGTAAATACATGTAATGTACATTAACAATCATGTAGTAGTATTTTTTATGCAACCAACTGATTACAACTAAAAATCTACTCATATATCAACTTGGTTAAACTAAGGACAAATATGTAAATACATGTAATGTACATTAACAATCATGTAGTAGTATTTTTTATGCAACCAACTGATTACAACTAAAAATCTACTCATATATCAACTTGGTTTGTATATGAAGTCTTAACCAACTTGATTTTGTTTTTCACCCAAGCTAATCATGATTTTATTTTCATTACCACGAATTCTTTTCAAATCAATTACAATAAAGTCAGTCCATAGCATATTGGTATAACTTAAGCTTTAACAAGTCGGTCATTTCAATTCAAACACCAAACAGAAATTCCAAGTTAACTAAAACTCAACAAAGATTTTTAAGGAAAAAAAAGAACTTATATGAACGACACAACTCAAATAGTCAAATTCGTTACATCTTAGCTAAGAATGAATTGAGCTGCTCGTTAAGGTATGAATACGAGTAGTTAATACTGATAAATGGACCGTACTCGAGCTCATTTATCCATCAAATCGACTCTATAAAAGTTCAAGCCCAAACTTGAATATTAGGAGCTCGACGTTCGCTTCTCTACTCGTGGGCCTTGAGGACAATATCTTGTACATTCAATTCTATACAAGCCCACGTTAAATAGACCCACTGAACTAAAATACAACAAAGCCCATTAAACTATGATTTTAGAAATAGTTGTTGTGGGCTTAAGAGCTAAAAGTACCCGAACTAACCAAAATTTCCCCGAGCAGCCCAATTTGGTTTTCTAAATATGTAACCCAACCCAAGTAACAAATATGACTTGGAAAATCCTATCATTTAGAGATAATTTTTATAATTACTTCTTTTTGTGTGATTTTATTTTATCTCTTTGGTATTACTCAATGCCAATGTGTTTTACACCTAAATAGAAAATCCTATCATTTATAACATTAAAATAAGATCACTCAATTACTAGTTTCCTATGACTAGGGAATAGGCCAACTAGTTTCCTGTGACTAGTATCCTATCATTTTATTTCTCTCCTTTTATTTCACCTTTCTTTATTCCATATGAAGCCTTCTTATATTGAAAAAGCTGGCACATAACAGTGGCTTCACAAACTTCAATGCCTAAAGAGCCCTAAATGATAACCCAATTTGAAGCATGTGAAAAACTTGGAATGGTTATTTTGTATGAAAGTAGTACTATTATTTTATTTCTCATAAATACATAAATTATCGTGTGATGGTTTTCAAAACAACCAATAGATACCCATTGACAAAAATTCTCCATCACTTCAGTTGACATAATTTCTTATTGATATACATGTTAATTTGTTGAGATATTAGATTTATGGATTGTTTGAATATTGACAAGTGTAATTTTATTTTTGCTCCTTGTTCCTCTTCGGATAGTTGTAATAGTTTAGCTTTGAAAGCAGCATAACTACGTTTGGTTAGATAATTTCCCGAGTTGGGTCTAAGATTTGTATTCCTCTCGGGCTCTTTTTTGTAATTAGTGGATCACTGATTTGTAAAGATTTTGTTCTTTTGCTTTGATTTGAGTTATACATCTTTTATCGTTTTGATAAAAAAGAAAAAAAGAAAAAGATTGTTTGAATATTGTAGTTTTAACTTTTAATAGCTTATAGACATGAATCAAATATCTAATTGCAATAATCACTAAGCAAACTATGAAAAATGTGCCCATTAATCATATTAGGATTCACTTTGCTTCTAAGCGGCACATGTCCTTTTTAGGTATAGTTATTCACAAGTGTAATTTGATTTGGCTCATGAAAATATAAATATCATTGTTATTTTAAAGGAGTCAGTCGAGACAAATTCGTTCGCGATTTTTTTAAATTATATTTTATAGATTTAGACGAGCAGCCAAATTGAGCGTAGTCGCTGACGCACAAATCGTTTTATCAAAGAGTTTATTTACGATTAATATGTATTAAACAAGTCCAAACCGAATTGAATTATTTCTTAAATGAGAATGAGTTCGAACATGAAATGCAATGAACGACTTCAAGGACATTATTTTTTCTTTTTTTCTTTCATGTATTTTTGTATATCAGCATCACCTGAATTTGAATAATAAAAAATAAAAAACACGGGATTTTGTTTCAACCAAAATCTTTCCGAAAAAGATAAATGTACTTTATTTTGTTGCGCCTTAACAACTTTTAGCCGTAACAACTTTTATTTTTTTTTCCTCAACCAAAGCACCAATAGAAAATCCAACCCAAATGGCAAAATGGTAATAGTAACGTTTGGTGAGGGCACTACGTGCCAATTCCACCGATTCTCTTTCTAATTCCTTACTGTCACTTTTTTCTTTTCTTTTTTTCTGTATATCCATCTGGAAATGAAGAACATAAATAAAGAAATCGTTTAATTAAAAGTATCAACTCATCTCTTCCTCTGTCTATTTGCTCAATCTCTCTTTATTTGAGGTATTTTTACGCTTACTCGCAATTTAATGTTTAGTTTTCTGCAATATTTTGAGCCAGATTCAGTGATCTGCATAAGGGTTCCCTCGGTTTCGTGTAAAAATTGAATCTTTATCATTTGTTTTTAGAAAAGGAAAATACTTTTCTTGTGGGTTAGGAAACATAGTTTGAAATCAAATTATCATTAGAATTTGTATTGTTCGAAAGCCCTTTTTTATTTCCAATCTGAAAGTGAGATTTTTTGTGATTTTCTCTACGCACGGTTTTGTTGTTTATCTCAGTATATTTCTGTTGAGTTAGATATGAGTATGTTCACTAGTACTCAACTTTTGCCAAGTATTTCACTTTCTAGGGAGTTGATTGGACATTAGAACGGTTGTTTAGGGAGCTACAGATTAGTTCTATTACATTTGTTTATTTTTCGGGTTTTGCAATCTTGGAATTATTAACATCATCAATGAATTAAAGCAAAAAGTTGAAAGTTTGTGTTTTTGGAGGTTTGATGATAATATTGGCTATTTTCTGATAAAAATTGGAGTCAATTTTTATAATTCTCTGTCAGTGTTGTCTTGTTATTGGAGAAAACATGGAAATGACTATCTTTTGTGCTCTTTGTTGATGAACTGGGCTGGAAGAACGGAATTTTCATGTTTTTAGGTATTTTTTATATTCATTTGGAGATATCCGATATGTGATGTTGAATGAGCATAAATCCCAAATCATATTGTGGAGGATGAAACAATTTGGTGAAGTTGTCATTTATGAATCTTGTGGTCGTTGACAGTATTATGTCATATTAGAGAATACCTGTGATAAATCATCAAGGTCAGTTAATTATTAGTTAATCATTTTGCTCGGCAAAATCATAAAATGCTTGCATCTCTTTTCAGCTGAAATCAATTGTTAGCCTCTGTTTATGTTCTCATGTTTACGATTACCATTTAGGACATCTCCCTGAAGTTAAATGGGCTCGATGGAGTTCTTTTCAGCTCTTTTTTGATGATAATCTTGTATGTGCTTTGAAATTGGAGATGAAGCATTCGTGTCCATGCTAGTTTTTGTTCTTTCAGTAGTTAACATAAACTTTAATCTTATCTGTAAGATGAACTGTGAAATTGAGCTGGTTACATGCATTTAATGTTCTTCTAATGCTTTTACAAAGGTGTTGAAGTTTTCAAATATTTGTTCTGGAAAATATGAACAAAAAGACTTGTATAATTGTGTTAGTGTGGGTTATAAGTATGTCCCTTGAGTTTTAACTTGACTACAAACACAAGAAGGCTCGATTATCTTTCAAAAGTATGAACACAGCCGTTAACTTTTGTTTCTGTTTCACTGGGCACTTGCAAAATATATTAATATTTTTTTTTCTTGTTCANAAAAAAAAAAAAAAAAAATCTTTTTATATATGTCAAGCAAATTTCAGGATAACTTTATGTGGTTTTCCAATGTTTAGGACACTACGCAATACAATTGACTTGCTGTTTATATTGGACTCCTCTTTTCTGAAATTATCTGCCTCGTGTGCGTGTCAGCTGTGTTTTGTTATTTTGTTATTTTGAATGTTAATTAATCATTTACTCCTTATCCCATTTTGGTACACACCTCGGCTAATATCAGGAAAAATTTGCATCAATCAATGGAGTCTTCCAAAGAGACAGGCTGTGAAGCCCGTGAGGGCCCGATCCTCTGCATCAACAACTGTGGCTTCTTCGGGAGTGCAGCTACCATGAACATGTGCTCCAAGTGCCACAAAGACTCGATACTCAAACAGCAGCAGGCCCAGCTGGCCCAAACTTCCATAGACACCATCATGAATGGTGGTGGCTCGACAAGTGTCATTCAGAAAGAGCCCGTTTTTGCCGACCCATCAAATGTGGAAAAGCCCGAACCAAAAACTGAAATTGGCCAACCTTCGTCCGGTCTGGATTTGGGAGAAAATCTAGAGGCGAAGGCAAAGGAGGGCCCAAACAGGTGCGCCAGCTGTCGCAAGCGTGTTGGTTTGACCGGGTTCAACTGCAAGTGTGGGTTCCTCTACTGCTCGGCCCACCGTTACGCGGACAAGCATGAGTGCACGTTTGACTACCGGGCCGCGGGCCGCGATGCCATAGCGAAGGCGAACCCGATCATAAAAGCCGACAAGCTCGATAAGATTTAGAGAAAAAACTTGTGGGGTTTTGAAAAGTTGCTGGTCCAATTTATGATGCTTTTTCATTTTCCTTTTTTTTTTTTTCTTATTTTTCCTTTGTCTGAATTCGGGTTGTGGTCGGGCAAGAGTAAGGAGGCAATTTCTCGTGTTTTTTATGAACTCCGGGGGATGGTCGGTTGTTGGTTTTTATGGTTTGACTCGTGTTTGCTCCAGTGTGTAAGTTTGGTGGTTTGCTGGCTCGATTATATATTATGGAAAGTGTCAGATGTTTTTTCTTCATTGGCCATGTTTTTGCCTGTGTTTCTGCTTAAGATTGAGGTGATGACAGATATTTGATAAATTATGATTAGGTGATTCGAGTTAACTAAACATATCCTGTTATGAATACGGGAACTTGAAACAAGTTTACTGGCATTTGATTAACTTTCTGTTTCTTGAAATTAAAGCAGTGTTTTAAACAACAGAATGAAGTGCTTTCCAGCTTTTAGATGGAAGATGTAAAATATCGTGCACGCTTTCTGAAAAGTTAACCAAAACTGCAGCCTAAATAACGGAAAGGCCTGCCTTCACTGGCAGGATTGAAACTTCCATATAAATGTACTAACAGTTGCCTAAGGTACATATTAACAACTTATAGAACATATGCACCATCAGACTAACATATTTAGTCTTTGATTGCTTAAGCCATTGGGGAAATTACAAGAACTGCTGAAGGATTTCCTGTATCTAAAGAAAGAAAAATAGAAAATTTTCAAAACTATAAAAGAAGGAAAACATCACATAAAAATCAGGCAACTCGCAGAGAGTGAAGCACGCAGTAAAACATCGTTAAACATTAGTGTGAAACTCAAAGATGACAACAAATCAATGGCCATATATTTAAATGCACTGCCCTGAATAATGAGACAGAATGGTAACTAAGAAAACATTCAAAAATCAAAAGGCCATCACTATATCTCGATACATCTCATCGCCATGGGCGAGCCGTTAAGATTCACAAATTGAAAACAAGAAACCAAAACAGAGATCGACAAACAAGTCATTCTGAAAATCTGAGTAGATCAAGAAGCACTTCATCAAAAAAAGATTCAGAATTTAAGCTGATGAACAAGTCAAATGACATTTTATTCCATCAAAAACAGCTAACTACACAAGATACCAAAATCCCAACAGAAACAAAACACAACTTTTCTTCAATCAGATTAGATGGACTGGGCAGATTCAACCTTTCTGAATACTGAGACAGAATGGCAACTAAGACAACATTCAGAAAATCAAATGGCCACCTCCATATCTTGATAAGTCTCGACACTCACCATGGGCGAGCCGTTAACATTCACAAAGTGAGAATAGAAAACAGAAACAGGGATCGATGAACAAGTCATTCTGAAATCAGACATTCTGGAAATCTGAGTAGCTCAGGAAGCACCTCATCAAACAAGATTCAGACTTTAAGCTGATGAGCAAGCCAAATTACATTTTATTCCATAAAAAAAGGCCAAGTACACAAGATAAAAACCTCCAAACAGAAACAATACACAACATTTCCTCAATCAGGAAACTGAATGAGCTGGAAAGATAAAAACCTCCCAACCTCAATCAGATTCAACTGACTGAGCAGATTCAAGCTCAAGCCTTTCGAGGGCTTTCTGGTGGGCCCACGTCTCGATCGTCAGATCGGGCTTGGCGCTAAGGCCCACCCCGAGGATGACTACGGTGAGGAAGCTGGTGAGGTAACAGGGCAGCTCCCAGTCTTCCCATTTCCGGGACTCGCCGGGCGGGGGCGGGGTGCGGTTGAAGGCGAAGCCTTTGGGCCGATCCTCGTGACCCGGGCTGGCCCATCTACTCAGCCTGTTTCCTCCGCCGCCGCGAGTGCGAAGGGAGGGGCTCATGCAGGACCGGATGGCGGTCGCTGCGGCTCCGAAGGGTTTAAGGGACGGCATCTCGATTGGTGAGAGAGAGAGAGACTGGTCGAGGCTTGTCGTCTGTTCTTCGGTTTATTTGGGGAACGGAACCTAATACGACGACGTACCGTAAGCAAAGGACCTAATTTTTTATTTATTAATTACCAGTCTCCATGTATTTAACCTTATATTTTTCAACCTAAGAAAATCTTTTTTTTCTTTTTTGTTTTTTTCCAGATAGATAGCTAAGAAAATCATTAAAGTACAATTTTATACAATATCTAATCCCCCTATATATTAATTGAGAACGTGTTGAGCCTATGTGGCAGGTTCGCATGCTTCGGGATCCTGTGTGGCAAATATACATGCTTCGTTATTAGGCTTGGATAGATTTAGTTTACTTCTAATCCAAATATATTTAGGTTCGGATTATTTATAATATGTTGATTATTTATGGTAAGGGTGGGCGCCGGCCGGGACGGTCCTGGATTTGACTTGTCCGGATACCCATCCCACTTTTATGAACTCGTCCATGAACGGTCCGGGATGAGGCACCGTCGGCACCCATGTATGTAATACATGGGTGTTGTACTAGTGTCTCTTATTTAACAAAAAGAAGTTTGGCACTATAGCGAAATGATTTTTTTATTCTTTCCATTTTGCTTGTTATGTTGCCACGTGCCCACTTTCTTTTTATTTTTGGTTTTTCTTTTGTTTAGTTCATTTTTGATAGCAACAACTTTTCTATTAGAGTGAGATAGGCGAGGGGGACGCACATTTTTTTTTTCTTTTATATTTTTCACTTCAAAAATTCTTTACCAAATTGAAAATTCACAAGAATTCGACCGGAATTGTCTTTCTTTTCCTTTCCTCTCTCTTCTTTGCTTTCCACACAATTTTTCGTTTCCTCTGCCGTGAAGAGTAAGCCTCGATATCAATTTCCTTAGGGTTTCGATCTCCCGAGAAATTCAGCATTAATGAACCTGATGCAATCGATTCCAGAAGTAGAAGATCTACCACAGAAGAACGCGGAATTTGGAAAATGGTCGCTCAGATCCTCGACTCTCCACACATTCTCAGGCTCGTCAATCTGATCTCGCGCCGTCGTTATCGTAGATCGATTTCGATTGCGTGTTCGAGCGACAGAACAACCGAACTCAGTTGAGGTGTCAGTATAGAAGGTAGACAGTTAATAAATTTCATCTCTTCAGGAGGATGGGTGGGCAAGGAGCTAGAGCTGATCATTTTGTTCTGAAGGTTCTTAACAATAAGGTACTTGAGAAGTGGCTGTTCTATCTAATCATTTCCCTTGAAAATTTAATTTTTTATGCAAACAGTACCTCTTTTTAGGTTGTTGTTGGCAGAGGAGGTGAAATTGATAAAAATATGCAAGCAAGGACTGAGACATTAGATATATCAATTAACGAATAGAATATTGTAATGGGTGTTGCTTTTTACTAATGACGAATAGAATATTGTAGTGGGTGTTGCTTTTTACTAATGTGTTGTCCAATATTATTGCATGTTTGAATTTTTTTTTACCTGATCAATACTTACCATTAGATATTATTGAGATTGGTAAAATCTCCTTTAGATTACCATTTGTATACTTTTTAGACTTCTAGGGAATATCATTACTTCTGCCCTCTTTTCCAGGTTACGAGAAAAAAAAACCAAACGGCCAATATAAAACAAGTTACTACCTTCACAGACACCATTTCCTTTTCTTCAACTTTCAACAAAAAGAAATGAAGGTATTCATATGTTTAGTTTCTCCATTTTGGGTGAGCTTATCGTCATAGTATTAACTTTTTTCTTTCTTATTGTTTGATTCTTGCAGTATATGGTCAGCAAGCTCTAAGTTTCAGGTCAACACCTTCTGCTTGGATATTTGATCCCCTCGGATGTCGGTTAAATGGATAAATTTTGATGCAGATTACGATGTCGGTGAAGTCGGTCATCAGTCTTCTGATAAATAGTCGGTTCTACTTTCGATCATCTGAAAGTCGGTAATTAATTTATTCAACTGGTACCGACTTGAGCTAAGTTCAGTTATTTCTGGGTAACCATTGAACAGGACGGTTAATCTAGGACGGTTAATCTTCAGTTTAATCTCATGAAGCCAAGTCGGTCATCAACATTGTGATTTATGGTTCTAAGTAAAAAAAATCGTTCAAGATTTGTGATGTTTCCATTCGGTCCGACTTATTTTGCTATACGATAATAATGAATCTTTTAAATAAGATATATTTTACTATCTGCGTAGATTTTTACTAACATAAGATGAGAAATATTCGAGTCCTTTAAGAATTTTTTAACTGGATTTCCTTAAAATTATGTAAAAAAATTGCAAAAGAATTTTTCATAGATATAATTGAATCAGATTATGCAATCAGAATATAAAATAATTTTTAAAAATGATATATTTTTTTGAATGTTTCCTAAAAATTTGGTAACAATGTATTAGCTTTCTTATTTTCCAGCGGCATGTAAAATTGAAATTCTTTGACGTGTGGTTTATTTATTTAGATGTATTTTTATGAAACAATATAGGTAAAATTAAATTTAATTGATATAGATTTATATTTATCATTCGTTCATATGATTATTTATTTAAATAAGTTCGTTATTTATTAGTATGTAATTTTGAATAATGAATTTATAGTTGGTGAAATAATATGTAAATCAAAATTTTGGGTTACATTTGTGTTAAATTGGTCAAATTAAACATGTCTCTATCCTACATATAAAGAAACCATATAACTGATTGTTGTAAAATTATATGCATCATTCGTTTTACTGATTTTATATATTATAAAGATTTGTTAAATTTTGTATTGTTTTGAAAGTAAATATTAATCGTGATATTTTATGTTATGTACAAAATATCGCACATGTTTTTATTAGATTGAATCAAGTCGGTGAAATAATATATTGCCGAAGATCATCAAAGTCTTGTATGTGTTTAATATTAAATTAAAGTGTCTCTATCCTACATATTAGGAAATAATATAACTGATTGATGTGGATTTATATGCATCTTTCATTTAATTGATTTAATAATTAGTTAAATAGAGCTACAAAACAATATTTAAAAAGTATATATTTTTTTAAATGGAAACAATTATTCGATTACACATTAATTACGTAATTGTAAGTAATTAATAATTACAAAATTTGTTATAAGCATATTTCATTGCAGAATGAATAATAAAATTGAATATAGTTAATAAACCATCCGATTTTGCATGCAAATTAGGAACTGATTTTTTAGTACAAACCAAACTGTTTTGAAAAAATTGGCAAAACTCGCGAAACAAATTTTATATTGCATAAAATAAGGTAACTGATTTTTCACTGAAATAAAACTGNAAAAAATTCAGACATGGGATAAGTCTTAAATTAAAAATGCGTGAACATATTTTATCATTCCGTAAACTATGGAATGTTTCGGCTGGCAATTAGGGAGAAGATGTAAATTAAAAATTTTCAAACAAAATTATCGTGGTTGAAATCGCGTGATCAAATTTTTGCTTGTGTGAAAAATAGAATGTTTCGACTGACCAGATTATAAGTGCATAAAATATGGAATTTGCATACATATTAATAAAAAAAAATCTAACCAAATTGTTAAAACCGAACAGAATTTTAGATTTTTAAGCAATTGCCATAAATAGTAAGTCAAAGTTTTGACTCAATTATTTTAGCTTTCTAAAAAAGAATTTAACATCAACTTTTTTAGATATATATAGATATAGATATTAATTGTTACATGTATAAATTATCACTATTTAAATACTTATCTCATCATTTTACATTTTGGCATTTTAAAAGATTATATATTAATCAATACGTTCTCTCATAATAATACTAAGACGGATTTAATATTAATTGCCACATTTTATATTTAAAACATCTCTTAGTACGTATTTATATATCAAACTTTAATATTATTAATTTATATATTGTTTGTTTATTTATTTATTCATTTATTTTTTAGTACGAATCCTCTTCAACTATGACATGATCCTTTTTTTTTTTACTAATTTATATATGTATAGTAAATCAAATGGAATTTGATATTTGTAGAGCACACCCAAAAAATCATTATTTGCGCATGAAAGAAGACTGAATAAATGAACAATAAAATAAATCGAATAGATTCATATATATTGAAACAAAATGTAATTTAATAGTAACATTTAGCGGCATGGAATAAAAAAGTAATTATAATAAGTATTTCATTACTGCAAATTCTAAGAAAGATGCGAAAACATTATTCTGTATCTAATCCTCGATTAATATAGCCCCTCATGGAAAAATTCCATTGTATTTCACCACGCGAGTCATACTATTGATCAGAAGCTTCCAATGGTGGTTTGTTGCTCTGTGCCACCCATTTTGACGTCAAGTTCATACTTGCCGATCACATACACGTCGCCTTCTTTAAACACATCTCGAAATAAGTTCATATGCGCATAACGTATAAACCCAGTTATTTGTGCACCCTACAATATATTTATATAAAATAACTTAGTTAATTTGCGTAAGAATTAGTTTGTACATAACAATTGAAAATATTACCTCCTCATCTTGGAAAATGATCTCAGAGAAATTCTTTCTCTCCAATTCGTATTGGGTATGAACAATTCGAATTGCTCGTAATTTCAAATAAGGCATGTTAGCCCTATTAACCGCATGTAGTCTTTCTAACACAGGTTCCATTTTTTTTTCTCTGGTTTTTAAAGTCGTGTTTCTCTGTTTTATGAGTTGGTCAAGATTATAACAGGTTAAATAGTCGGATATATGTCTTTCTTACATATAAAGAAAATTACAACCGGTTGTATTAGATTATTATACATCATTCAAAAATAATAAAATATTATTTGACATATCTATAAATGTGTTTATCTCCTACAGATTAGGAAACAATATAATTGGGTGATGATGTAGATCTCTTTGCATAAGATACTTACGAATTTAACATAGCTTATTTGTTATTCAATAATTTCATTTTATGCCTTCAATATAATTTTGAGTAAAATCCAAACTTAAAAGTGAAATAAAATCGCATAATACGTAAATACTTAAAACCGCATGTGATGAATTTTATTTTCTTCCGTAATTGTGGGATATGTGTAATTCAAATCTATGTTAACTAGTATTCGACCTTATGCATTTGCACAGATGTAAATAAAATTAAATATTATAAGTTATATTTATGTATATAATATAAAAATTATAAGTTATATAATTGCATTATATTTCAAACATATAGTATTATAAGTTATATTTATGTATATAATATTAAAATTATAAATTATATAATAGTATTATATTTCAAAATTTGATCATTGGTTAAAATAAATAGTACACACGATTTGATTGTATACGAATCACTATATTGATTGCATAAAATGCAATAAATATATACTTTTTATAATTTTGAGTGATCATGACCAATTAATTAGCTGAAAAATATTACATTTATTATAACAATTGCTTATGTGATTTTAAGAAATTTTACTATGACATAAAAAAAATTAATTTATTAATAAACATCATCTTCATCATATAAAAAAATATTGATTTTAGTGTAAAATATCATTTTATGTAACTTTCATATATTATTTAGTATAAAATATATTTACTAATTTTAATATTTACTATTATATTATTCAATAAAAAATATAATTATTAATCAATTAACATAAAATATAATGGTTTTTTGTCTTAATTAACCCAAAAAATGTAATGAAATATTTTCTTATTAATGAGATTTGGTGTATTAATGCCACATAAATAAAATTTATTAGGTTCTATTTATTAGGTTTTATTAATGATTTGCCACATAGGTAAAATTTATTAGGTTTTATTTATTAGGTAAAATTTATTGGTTAACTAGCAATTATATATATATAGATTCATACTTTATACGTAAATACTTAGAACCGCATGTGATGAAGTTTATTTTCTTCCGTAATTGTGGGATATGTGTAATTCAAATCTGTGTTAATTTATACTTTATACGTAAATACATAAAACCGCATGTGATGAAATAAATACTTTAAGTAAATATTTCAAATGACATTTTAAAATTATCACTATTTAAATATTTATCTAATGTATCTCGTCACATTTGAAATCGATGTTAATAAATTTAAATAATTTTACATTTTGGATATCTTTGTTAAATAGTTTTTATAACCGGATTTTATATTAATTGCGACATTGTGTATTTAAAATATCTGTTAAAATTTGTGTTAATTTGTATGTAAATATAAATTGACATATTTTATAATTATATATATTTAAATAGATATCAAAATCACGAAACTAAGCATGAACACGAATAATAAAAGAAAACATAATAATTTTATTACTCACAAAATAACAATAAATATCATTATCATACCATAAAAATGCAATTCGGCTTAAAAATATTAAATGATAAAAAAATAACTCTTGCTCCTCTCTAGTGTTGAGGGAAAATTCCTCCATAGTTGCATACACGACTTCTCCTATAAAGCACAATCTTCCACATGTGATTTACGACATTGTATTTGGAATTATTAAATTCAACATCATAGTGTCAGATTGCATACACCTCGCCTTCTTTCAGTACATCTCGAAAAACGGTAATATTTGGAGAACGTGTTATGCCTTTAATGTATGAACCCTACAATTAGTGTACAAATTAACAAAAATAATTTAAGCAATTATGTATTATTTGATATAACAAATGAATATATTACCGTTTGATCATGAAACAGTATATGAAAAACGTTCGATGGATCCGATCGTGATGCATTTCAATCATTAGGACTACTCTCAACCACAAAAAAGGTTTGTTGATCCTACTGACGGCATCGATGGTATCAATCGGCCATTATATTTATCTATATTGCAGAAATTTCTCTCTGTATTTTTATTAAGCACGGTGGGAAGGAGGTGAAAAAAAATGGCATGAATTAATACCTTTTTATACAGTATTTATCTGGTGGTTTAGGTTAACAAAAAATAGGGAAAGATTTTTGTAGGATATTAACCAAAACAAATTGAGGATAAATACGGGATTGATTTTAGGAATATTGTAAAGCGCGTGAATGTGTACAATTAATTCCACAATTTGCTATGTGAAGAGATTCAATTGCGTGAATATCTGTTAAGTTGGGAAAAAGCCAAGATAAATATGGATTGTCAAAGTTTTTGTCAAAGTTTAATGTCTTTTTAAATCGCGTGATTAACTCGCATTCATTCCCGATTTTAATGCCGTGGTTTCAAAAGGAAAAACCGGAATTAAATAGATATTCCTCACAAAACAAAAAGCTGGAATTAAAAAGACATTCTACAAATGAAAAGTCAAAGGTTTGACTCTATTATTTTAGTTTCCGAAAAAGAATTAAACATCAACCTTTTTAGATATATATAGATATAGATATGCATGGTAAAACAAAATGTAGATTGTTTGACTATTATTCAACCAAAGATTGGGACTTGGTTTAATTATACCAAGTAAAGTTGTAAACGACCCGAGTTTGGTTCATTAACTAATCGTAGTAATAAATCCGACTTATTTATCAATACAATATTAATGGACCAAGGTAAGGCCTTAACGAGTCGAACTCGAACTTTAACGAGTCACCTATAGAAATTATATAAAAAGTCTTCTTTCAAGCCGAGCTTAACTAAACGAGCTCGAGCTCGGCTCGCACAAGTAAAAATGATTGTTGATTTGCACAAAAGAGTTTTATCAATGTTATCCACATTAACACCCCCCATTGACAATGTGATGAAACATACAATTGTCTATAATCAACATCTCCTCATAAACCCATCACACAAACTTGGCAAAGCTGTGGCATCAAACCCAAATCGGAACAGTAGTCGGAGCTCTTTATCCTGTCCGGTAAAACTTTCACATTGACCCAAATCGGGATAACAGTAAGTGCTCTTTATCGTATTTCTTTTGGAAATAAGTAAATATAAGAAAGAACAGACGAAAGAAAAAGCGAAGGTAAGATGCAAGGAGGACTCAAAGATCTGAAACCTTGATATATATATTAGATTAAAAATCAACCGATGTCGTTCTCAGTATAATACAAATAAATTAGTAATGTCGAACATTACGACATCTATATCTATATATGGCTAGCCAAGTTTCCTCTTGACAAAATGAACAAGGTTTTCGATTCATCAGCAAACAATTGTGTGTTTGTGTGTGTGTGTGATAGCTCAATACTGAGAAATCTGAGATAAACTCACTAGTTTTCCCACTACATTCTAGTAAAGATATTCAGTATATACAAAGCTAGCTATTTGGAAAATTCTTGGTCCCCCTCCTTCAGAGCTCCATTTTCAGCTGACTTGAGTGCAGTGATGCTGTGCCAAAAAAGACAAAACGTTGCATATTAATCATCTCGAAAGATTTAGTTTATTCACAAGTCTCAACTATTTTGGTTGTACAGGAGCTACTTCACATTCGGGCCAGTTATGTTCTTAGAGGGAAAATTTTAAAACCAGCATCGACCACAGACGAGTAATAAAAATGTGATAAATTACGGTGAACGTGATTATTCGTCAATGAGAAGTGAATTTACCGGAGTTTGCAGGGGAATCATAACTTAATAGCGAGTAATCTGGAGTAATGAAATTAGAGGTGTCTTCTGGTCTGGCCCATGAAGGCTGGTGAAGCCCATCAACATCCAAAGGCTGGTGATAATGGTGCTGTCTGTTCATGTCGATTTGTCCCTCAGGCCATACGGGAGGATCAAACATGCCCGGGCAGCTATTATTGATAGAGGATCCATTCTACAAAAGCAAGAGAATGTGGCAAGTTAAAAAGCCAAAATTTGGCAGTTCGGCAAATGGCAATTTTTAACCGTCCATGTTTGACAAATGGAACTTCAATGAGATATAACTTCCAGCAAATCTATTTACTACAACTCACTTTCAATATTTAGTAAGTTTTAGAAGTGGGTCCCATATACTTTCTATTTTTGGAAAGTTGACTTCTTACATGTCATGTGCACACTCTTTTTGTTTATTTATTTTTAAAACAAGTTATTCATAACCGTCCGTTCAATCGAGTTTGTATTATTTCATTGCTTTTTTTTTCATTACAATGATAAAGTATGTCATTTTAAAAATAAGTTATCGTATTTTTTTGTACAATATTTAGTCATGATATTTTTAATTTCTTAAATATCTGAGTGCGGTTCTCAATTTTTACACAGTATTCATTACAATTTAAAAATATATTTTATGTTGAAAATTGTTGATAATTCAAATTTAAATTATGTCATCCGGTTGAACTACAATGATGTATTTTATTTGAAATTCCTGCACAAATAATAATAATAATAATAATAATAATAATATTAATAATAATAATAATAATAATAAAAATAAAG